CATTATTCTTCTTAATGAGTAACACTAGAAAAAATATTAAAGAATTTGACTTTCGAGACACATTGTATGATTAATATCATTGGTACTATAATAACCTAACTGTGCAAGCACGGCTATGCACGAGTAGCAGAATTTATTAGTTGACATCAACAAGTAGATATTTATTTGAAGAAGATCATAGAGTGAAATATGAAATTTGTTTCCAAAATAGAAAAAAACATGTATATTATTACTTGCTATCGTCATATTTATTTATCTCTTATCACAGATAGATATTATCTGTGAGATGAGTTTTGGTTATTTTGTTGTGCTATCAACATGACAAAATAGAATGAAATTATTTGCAGTGATATAGTATATAGTGGTATTTTTGCCTTCTAAGATAATGTGCTTTTGTATGGTAACGACTCGGACAATTAAGAAATGAAGGAGAAAAAACCATGATCTCTTATCTTTGTTGCTTTTGGTTTGTTCTTAGTTTTTATTTCAATATTTCTTCTTGTTATCACAAACTAAAAGAAATGCATTTCTCATTCTTGACTCTAATATTAATATTTGCCATTTTAAATACTGTGAAATGTGTTATGGATTCATGCCGTCAAACATTTGGCTCTAATAAATATGATTTAAATCGTTTAAGTGAATTTACATTGTTCGGAAGTGATGATGAATACGATTATGCTTTTACGCCATGTGCTATTGTAAAACCCGATGCATGCCATGGCCACACTGTTTCGAACGAAATGAGCTGCCAATATGATCGCTCTTTTCACATGTGGTCTACGATGTCATTCATAGATAGTAAATCACCATGGCCTCCTAATGCAAATGCATCATATACGGAAAATCCAGATGGACCAGGAACAGGTATTCTAATGACAACAACTAATGGTGATCCATGTTTTGGAGTTACTCGTTATATGAGAATTACATTTATCTGTGATAAAACTATTGAACAACCAGCAAATATGACTGTTGTAGAATGGATTAGATGTGATTTTCACGTTGAAGTGAGAGCTGCACAAGCTTGTCCTATACAATAATATTTTGTCAATAAATCAATCCAAAAACAGACTAACCTATCTATCTTGAATAAAAGACACAATACAATCTGCTGTACTCAACTTTTGCTTTTCAGCAAGCGATTATTTTGTCGAAGTTAAATGTGAGTGTTAAAATAATAAGTCATTCTGCTTTGTATAAGAAATACTTAAAAAAATGCACAGTTAAATTCGCCGACGTGTTGCATGTCATGTATTAAAATATGAACACTCATCAGTGCTGTGCATTACAATTTTAAGTACAGAAAAATATAAATTGACAATATTTAAAAAACAAGGAGCAATGGAAGGAGAACAACTTCATCACGTTCAATCAAAGTGACCACTTGCGTACCTGCTGCAATTGACAAAACAGATAATAGTATACTTTAGCAGCATAAACTCATAATTCGTTTTCTACTAGGCCTAATAACATAATCCACATTTATTTGAACGCGTTCAATTTGTAAATCACTTGATGCTGAATCATGTAAAGAGCAGATGTACGGAGATAAAATGAATTAATTAATATCTTTTGATTTTGCTTGTGGATGGATGTGGGTCTTAGCATCTATATGTATAGAGCTATAGGACAAGCAATGTCACTGATGTTATGTGATAGAACGAAGAAAACGATGACCTTCGTGGGACTTGAACTCAAATCTTCTGTTATTCGGGCAAATGTCCTAAGTCAGTTAGACTAGAAGAAACATCTTAATCTTCGTTTAGAGTGGGCGTGAGTGTGGACGTGAGTGTGATCCTCTCATCTTCATCATGTACATTCACATC